TATTATTATTATTATTATTATTATTATTATTATTATTATTATTATTAATTATTTTTATTATAATTATAATTATTATTATTATTATTATTATTTATTTATTTATTTTCTTTTTTCATAATCTAATTATTTATCTGATTTTATTGGAGATTAGCATCGTCGATGTTTAAACATGAATATTTATATATATATATATATATATATATATATATATATAAAAAGAGAGAGAGAGAGAGAGAGAGAGAGAGAGAAAGAGAGAGAAAACTCTCACAAATTTGAAACTCGAATTTGTATACTTTCGTAGATCATTCCGTTGAAGTTGCTTACATTTGAAACGATTCATTTCACTTTTAGAAACACATCAAACATTCTATATTTGTTTCATTATATTTCATCGCTATGACGCAAAAACAACCCCCCCACCCCCCAGACATGTTTCGCCAACTATGAAATTTTTGGAAATTCTACAGAGACTGACAACGAGTGTCTTTTTATCATAGATCCTCTTCAGCATAGATCATCCTCATGATCTACATACAGAAATAGATGAAAGCGGATTCGAAACACGTCAAAATTTTAATTATAAACGCGTACCATTTGCGCTTCTACGGAGCGTTGAATTTTAATTGTAAATGAGATAGACGAAGGGTGGGAGAGAGTGGAAGAGAGAGAGAGAGAGAGAGAGAGAGAGAGAGAGAGAGCCATGTAAATGGAAACTCTCTCGTTCTGTGATTGAAAATGATATGCTGGATGTAATGTGATCTTGCATGATGGGTCCCATAAGAGAGAAAGAGAGAGAGAGAGAGAAAGAGATAGACGAAACGAGTGAGAATCTGATGTCGTAATTAGTATGAAAATGTTATTTATTTTTTTTACCCGTAGCTACGTTTGTCAGTTAAAAAAGAAGAAAAAAAAAAAAGAAAGAAAAGCAAACAAAAAAAAAGAGAATGAATTAATTAAACAATCTTGTCATTTTGCTGCTCAGTGACGTCTGTCAACAAAGAGAGAGAGAGAGAGAGAGAGAGGGAGAGAGAGAAAAAAAAAAAGAGAAAAAGAAATAGAATTAATTATACAATCTTTCATTGTTTTTACTCTTACCAATGGTTTATTCTGCGAAAGGATAAAAAGAAGAGGAAGAAAAAAAATAGAGAGGGAGAGAGAGAGAGAGAGGTATGAAATGAAGATAGATAAATAAGCTGGAAACATTTTTTTCGTAATTCGTTAAAAAAAAAAAAAAAAAAACAAAAAAAAACAAAAAAAAGAATTCACTTTATTCCCAGTGAGATCTGTCGACAAAAAGAAAACAATTAGCATTTAATTAAACAATTTTGTAATTTTACTCCTGGTGACATCTGTCAAGAAAAAAAAAAAAGAAAAAAAAAGAGAGAGTGAGAGAGAGAGAGAGAAAAAGAAAATATTGAAAAAGATGGCAAAAAAAAAAAATTTGTTCGCAAAAAAGAAAAAAAAGAGATTCATTTTATTAGAAAGAGTTTTATTATATTTATTATTTTTAATCGATTTCCTATCGAAAAAGGATGAAGGATAATCGTTTAACTTAAAAAGCGTTGCTCTTTCATATATCATCTCTCTCTCTCTCTCTCTCTCTCTCTCTCTCTCTCTCTCTCTCTCTCGATCATATTTAACTTGTTCACGTGATGATATCGATTCGATTCGATGCCTTCCAGACATTATACCTTTCCTTTTTATAAGTGGAATCGACTTTGAATATAATCAAGTTGATGTCAGTTCATATCAAGATTGGCCCTTAAATGCGCCGTTAAGGGCCGTAACAAGTTGATCGATCCTGAAACGTTTTATCGATCGATCCTCTCTTCTTTCTTTTTACTTTCTCTCTCTCTCTCTCTCTCCCTCTCTCTCTCTCTCTCTCACACACACACACTCTCTTTCTCTTTCTCTTTCTTTCTCACTCTGTCTGTCTCTCTCTTTCTCATTTATCTCAATGTTGAAATGACAGGAAGTTAACGATAAAAATCATGGTATCGTTGAACTCAAAATTGTAATATGTAGTTAATCGTATTTCGATTTATCGATCTTTTAATGTTAACTTTTTAAAATGTCAAATTTAATAATTACGTAAATCCAATCGATTCATGAAAATATTATTCCCCTAGGGATTATAAAATTTCTTTATAATTGAACGCAAATGAATTGAGAGGAATGTTTCGTTATGTCATTAATTTTGACACTATAATATTCAAGTCTCGTTTTAAAAGTTCATCGACCTATCTCTCTCTCTCTCTCTCTGTCTCTCTCTCTCTCTCTTTTTTCTTGTTTCTTTTTCTTTTTCTTTTTTCTTTCTTTTATCCGCGCAGTTAAAATGAAAATTATATTATTACGTATATTATATGAAATTTTTGCAATTTGTACTTGTATATAATTATTATTTATTATATACGTATAAGTATAAATAGTATCTATTATACCAAAAAAGATATATATATATATATATATTATATTATTATATTATATATACAGAATATACTTTTTATGTGTATAGTATATATAAAAGTTTAACAATGACATAATGATAATAATTAAATAACAAATTGCTCATAGAAGCCAATAAAAAATGAGCGAATAAAATGAGCAAATCTAATAGATAAATAAATAAATAAATAAATAAAAAATTATGCATATATAGTATAATTATATCTCGTGTCGCTTTTTTTTCGTTCTTCTTTTTTTTTTTTTTTTTTTCCTTTTTTTTTTTCTCTCATATTCTCAAAGCCACAAACAAACATTTTCATTTTTTGCGTCGATTTTTCGTAGATTAGAGTTAGCAGAAGCAACAGCTGTAGTAGTAGATAGTAAAGGGAGAGAAAGAGAGTAGGGTCGAAGCCGT